GCAATGCCACACCACCACTGTTTCAGTCATGCTGTGTTTGTTCAGTGCTATGATATTATGACAGCTAGTTCATTATGTTCTTGGGGAAAAATCGGACAATAACTTCCAGCCTGACAGTATTTCAGTTAGTTTCTCTGCTTTTATTAACAAGCATATAATATTACTTGGCAAAACACTGGATACAAGCTTCACTATCATAAAATCAAAACATTAAGCAATAATCCCCAAAGGCTTATTCAGACAAAACTAGCCACCAGTAGTACAAAAATCACACAGCAACACAAAGCATAAAAAATTGTAAACTTTCAAATGAAGCTAAGCCAAAAATAAGATTTTACACTGTGACAGTTCCAGAATCTTTATTATGCCACATATTAGGATAAAGGCTTAGTGGTTGCACTGGCTTATTGTCCCTTAATCGTAAAATAATCTTGTTGCAGAAGGAAAGAACAAACTTTCCTTTTGTCCAGGTAAGTCACTTGAATTCAAGATTCCTTTAAACCAATGCTTCGAGTTTCAAATAAAAATAAAAAAAAAAATCATGGAATATCAGTATTCAAAAATCAGGGCTCATTCCTTCAGCCACACCTAAATATTCACATGAATGATCCCCGTTGGTTTCTGCAGAACCATCCAGGTTATTAGTAAAGTTACCAACCTAAGTGTTCATAGAATTGGACATTTACTTCCTACCCTACCACTAGCTTCTGGACAAGTCATCATGGCTTCGAAAGATTTCCAAGAAGCCCTAGGGATGTTCAGACATGAATCAAATAGCAGAGCTTTAATTTGCATATAAATCAACCATAACTCCACAGTAAAACATTACTGTTGACCTGCCACAAGATGCAAGTTCCTAGAACATGTTTGTATTGATTGCAAGTTTTGGTTAAAGCAGAGATTGAAGCATTGTTCCATTTTCCTTAATGTTGTTCTATCTGCAACTTTTTACTTCAACAACACATCTCAAGACCTTAGTTACAGTTAATTCTATCTTACATAGAGATTCTAGTGTATGAGACAATGTTTTGCCCTGTTATCAACTTCAGGCAGACTACCTGAAGTGTAGCTTGCATTAACACTTCCAGTGAAACAGCCAAACTGATTACCTGAGGAAATACAGAAACTTGATTTTTCTGTACAGTCAAGCGTTCTGTACAAAATGCATTTTAAATACTAAGATTCATGTCACTGATGTACTGACTGGTTGGCTTTTTCCTATTATATTTAGCTCAATGGTAAGATACATAATGCTGTAAAACAGGCTAGTTGTATGATTACATTTATCATCCAGTTAAAAACACTCAGTGAATCTCGTAGGAGTAACTATGTTGTTATAAAGACAATAAGAGCCAGATAAGCTTTCAAAGGCTCATCGCCTGTTGGAAAAAAATAGCACCATCATAGTTGTATTCTGATAATTTTTATGGTCCCATATCCCCAGAGGTGATGGTGTTGTGTATACTATTGCACAACCAATAAAAATAAATATTCCCAGGTTTGATGGGCACAAACACACCAGACATAGCAATGGCACAAAACTTTTTCAGATAGGCTGCAAGTCTTGCTGATTGCTTCCACAATTCACATTAATGTTTCTTGCAAGATCATTTATTTTAAAATATTGCTGACAGATAGTTCTTGTACTTACACAAATTTAAATCCCACACTTCACTCTTCAAATAAAAAAATAAATCAAAAAACAACCCCCCCAAATAACAGTCCCAAATAAAACCCCATTTGAACACGTGAGAAAAGCCATCTACATTCCTTTTAAATGTAACGGTAAGTAGATGCTACATTTACAATTTAAACATATGCCTAATAAATGCATGTTTCAAAGCTATTGCACAAAAGCATATGTAATGCTCTTTATTTATACAAAACAAAAACATACAAATAAAAGCTACTCAAACTCATTGTAAAAGGAAGAAGCTTGGAAAAACATCTTACAGTTCCATTTTATATGCCCCTAAATAAAGCTGGACCACCGAAACCCAAAATACTTGGATGGTAAAATAAGACAGAAGGCTTAAAAAAGAATAAATAATTTTATAAAGTTAAAATTTAAAACCCCAAATCTTATTTAAGTTCAGTATTATATATTCTATCTGAATTATCTATTTTTAATGAAACTATATTTAATGAGACTTTGAGCCTGGGTGGTTCAATAGTCTCACTGCTGCTGAGGATAATGCAACAAGATACTTCAATTATTTACCAGCGTAAGCAATTGTGAAAACTACTTTACAGTAACGACATCTTCATGAAAGCCAAAATAAACTAACACGATCTCACTAGGACTAAGAGATATCTATGCGGAGTCCAACTTTTAGTCCAACTTCGAACAGTATCAAGGATATCTTACCCAATATAATCTTGATATAAATTAAGTGTCTCTTAACCTTCACAGAAGTGAAAGAACACTCTGACTCAAAGGAGACCTCCCTCTGACTTCAATTCAATTGCACTGTAGTCTTTTAGTAAGGCTAAAGGAGACTAACTATGGTCCACACACAGTCTCATCCCTCCTGAGGCAAAGAGAATCTGTAGCGATTATGTTGTGACAGGTGATTTAGAAAAATAACTGGGTGGCTTTTTATGTTTGGTTGTTTTTTTTTTTTTCTTTTTACAGGTGAGGTTTGATCAGTTTAAACACATTGCAAAAGCAGTTACACACAATTACGTGCAAAAACCCCAGCTGCAGGTATTAATACTGGCTTGAAATTATGTATCCATATAGCTATAAACAGAGTTTTTAAATATATCGATAGCACCATAACAAATTCAAGTGATACTAAAGAAGGTTATAAACTTGTAAATATATGTTCTGTACTGTAGATGGTTACAGCAAGAGATAGACTTGGAAGGCTTCTGAATTCGCATGTTCGTAACTACTTTCTCAGTTGCACAAGTACACAGGAAAGTACCAAAATCCCAATGTACGTTAACAGCACTGCATCAGTATCTAGTCGTACAAGAAGTTTTTGCAGTACACACATTCTGAGGTAGACAGATCTCATATATATATTTGTTTGTATGTGTATATATATATATATCTCCTGACTAAGGTGGTTAATCAGAATGCTGTCTGGCAGCTTTAATTTTATGTCTACATCAGGTACAGTCAGTGTCTGTATACTCAGGGTTCACAGAGGGTGGACACATACAGCCCTGTCTGTACTCAGTGCCTCAGCGGCTAGAGCTAGTCCCTTATTTACATTAGGTCAGTAACAAGCACATTAAAAGCTCCAGAAAGGCCGAATATGTAAGTTTGTGTACACATCCATACTACCTACTTTCACTGTTTCTGAGAAGATTTTAAAAATGGTAGACACATGATCTCACTTGTTCTCTTCTGCCAGTTCAAGTAATGTTAAAGACAGAAAAAAAAGCTATAATACATATATCTGAGTCCATAAACAGTAAGACAAAAACAGAGCCAAGTTCATTTCCATTGCTCGTACGCATGGGCACACAGCCCACACGCCCAGAACCCAGCCGCCCAGCTTGGATGTGGAGTTCTGCCTAACCCAAACATTCAAATGCAGCCATCCTATATCCTCATCTGCAAGGACAGCCTTGCTTTTTGGCCTTTGGGTGGCTCTCCTTTCCATCTCCACAGTTCAGCAGGCTCCCTTTCATTCTCTTCCCACATACTTGATTTCCTTCCCATTCACATCTGTGACTATAAATAAAAATGAGAAACCTTGTTTTCAAAGCTAAACACCAGCTGGAGCATCCTCTCTGCAGCAGCAGAGCTGAGAAAGGAGGACTGAAGACTCCAAAGAAGGAAATTATGTGACACATGCTGAGGAATGTGGCGCTTTGAAAACTCAAGAAGAGGACAAGGATTTAAAACGCTTGGACAAACCTCTTGCAGTATCAGCTTCCTGTTATCAAGTAACAATACTTTCTAGCAGAAGAGGGGAAGGAGAACAGCTAGAGGAAGCAGGGTAGTTAGGGGTAAACTTGTTTTCTTATGCAAAGACAATTTCTCAAAAAATAACAGGGTTTAATAACAGGAACAGCAACTAGCACTTTCAGATGACTGGAAAAGTCTTCCAGAAATTAGAAGGTTAACGATTTCCAGCTACCAATAATATGGCATAGCCTGTTTTCAGCGACTTGACACCTGTGCCAGACAAATACTCTCATAATCACACTATGTACGCTATCCTGTATACAGCTTGCAGAAATCACTTTCAACTACTGTTTTTAAAAAGCCAACTATTTCAAAAAGCCTTACAAAAAGGGCAGTGAATCCTGCTAAGTGCTATTGAGGGTGCATTCTATATATATATATATATATAGGTATATGTGTGTGTATAATTATGCACACATACATACATGCATGTATATTAACTTGCATCCATTAGGGTTGATGCAAGCAAAGTAATCTGTTAAGGCCAGACGGTGCTAAAATAAACTTGTCTGACGCCCCCTCCCCACTCCTCCATCCCCGACAGCCAGGAATTGCGCTAAAGGAAATGCTATGGTTTCATAAGAAAACAAGTAAAGGAAATATAAAGCTGCTCATAATGATCTGAGGAATTTTTAACCAGTGAAATGAAAACTGTGCAATATCACCAAAGTTGCCCAAGAACCGGTGTTTCAATAGCTACTGAGAGCAAATTATCTCTGAATTAAAAACTGATTTCTGCAAGCCACATCTACATAAGAAATGTTTATTTTTAAAAAAATTCACAAATCTAGCACTTTGGAGTATTTGTCATTACGTGGTGCAATTTATGCCACAGCAAAATATCAGGGCACATTAAAATTAATTGAAATTATTTCTATTAGTCTTACCAAATCAACATGCATAGGGGGCTATCAAAACTTTACTAAAACACATAGTAAAGGAGAGCAATAACTGGTCAAAAATGACAAACTTACTGATTTCCCAGATTTTCAGAAGTTTTCAATGCAGCATAATAAATTATCACCAGTCACTGTATCACTAGGTATGGTCAATGCTCTACAGAGTAACTTGAATAAAGCCAATGCAATCAGGCATCCTATATAAGACAATAACACTTTGCAAAAATATAATTTTTAAAGATTCAGAATGTGAAAAGTAACTAAATGCAAGTTGGTGTCAAAAGCAACATTTTTAAATCACCCCACAACATTCTAACTTATTTCTGTGTAACTGTAAGAGATAAAGCAGGCTGAGCTACATGGAACTGTGAAGTGTTTTCAGTATCTGTAAACTTAGTGCTGGTAGTGTCTTGTTGAGTTGTGACTTCTTTCTTCCGTACAAAAAAAGTATAAATATTTTCTGTCCAGAAATCTAGGTAATATATGCCTAGAAGAAATATTCAGAAAGACAGTCCACTATGAAAGCACTACAGTCTTCCAAAATTATTCGGCTGGTTTGTGTCATGGGATTAGTGATGCACTAAGAAGGCGCCAGATGATAGTCTCGGCAAAAAACTCTGTCCAGAAGGACAATAAAGTTCTCTTACAGCAAGTCCATTTTGGGTCTGTAATGTAGCAGTAGAGGTGCTTTCTGCAAGACAGAAATATCAGATAAGTTAAGAAGTAAAACCAGAACTAATCTGTTCAGTAGGCAAAACTTTGGTTTCATAAGCTAAAGCTTAAATGAACTACCAGAGATGTGAACTGTCAAAATTTCACCAAGACAAAGACAAGATGTAATTTCATCTGTGGATCTCAAACAAGAGATGACGAATCCTTTCCCTCTTCTCTCAGGAGCTGATCACATTGAGATCAGTTCTACTAGGTCTATTTAACCTGGAAAACCCATTCCCAGTAAGGGAGAAATGCAGATGTCTAGAAAGCAGCATAAGAGCATGTGGTACTTCATATTTAACAGCTCTCACTTGATTCCTCTCCCATGAAATGTATCCATTGTTTTTTTGTGAATAGGTAAACTTCCAACATCCACTACATCCTGCACCAAGGACTTCTGTGTCTCACATAAAGAAAAGAATTGCTTCCTCTTGTTTGTTCTGGACCTCCCACCTCCCAGTTTCATTTTAAATCCCCTCTCTATTTCACCTGAGAAGGCAGTTTACAGTTCTGTTTTCCATGCGACTCACAAGCACAAAGATTTCCATGATATAGGTGAACAGCAGAGTTGTACAGATGCATATCAATTTGATGCTATTGTTTGGTCCTCTTTTTTTTTTTTCCACCATAAAAATCCCTAACATTTTCTTTGCACCCATTTACATTTACCTACATTGAACTTAAGGTGCTCACTAATCACCTGTCACTTGAAACTGTAAAGGCTTGCTTCAATCCTTTGTCATCAATCTGTCTTCACTATCCTAAATAACAACAATGTTGTCAGTGCATTGTTACTGTACTATTCAAACCCCTTTCTAGGCCATTCAAGAATACCATACAAAACAGATTTCAGTAGGATTCCACTCATTACCTCTCTGCATTTCGAAGACTGAGTTCTGTCCTGTGACTCTTCTGCAAGTCAATTATTTTTCTACACAAAGATAGAAAAATGCTCCCCTGGTCCCACCTGCACCTCTTCTACACATGCATCTAAAGCCATCAAGTGGTTCCACCTCAGCGTACACTATAAGCTCAGACTGTGCTGCTTCCCCGTTATGAATATTAACTCCTAGTTCAAACATCCCAAATACACATACACTGACTCTGTAAGTGTGACTTGCCTCCTAAGTGTTCAATTTTGCAATTAACTCTTACACCCATTTCACTTGAGCTGCCATTATTAATGTGATAACTAGTACTCAGAATGAATGCTCACTGTTTACTATTCATCTTGAAGGAAGTTGTTTAAAGAAACAACAATAAGCAAGTCAAAGATGTACTCAAACATGTTCAGCCAGCTTTTTTTATGCCTACTAAATTCTGCCAGAAGTTCCTTAACTAAGGCAGTGAAGCATTGCAGGTACTGCCTCCCCTTTAAAGTATAACAGCCTTCTTGAGCTACAGAAGAGAACTGTGTTGAAAAAATCTGCCTTTGTTGCATCTCAATCAGTTTCCACACCTGTGTGGATTAAAACCAGTTTTACCTAAAATAACCAAAGATAAGTTTCTTGTGGCTTCCACTTCCCTTGCCAGACTTTACAACAATTTGACAGTCGATTAAGTGTTCCCTTTTCCCTTGCAATTAATACTTAATTCCCCTTTTCTTCATTTCACAGATTCACAGATTCACAGAATGGTAGGGGTTGGAAGGGACCTCTGTGGGTCATCTAGTCCAACCCTCCTGCCGATTTCCTTGGAAACAAAAATAATACTGGGTGTTTAAGGATGCTGTATTAGATATTTATTAAAGTATATTTTTATCAAGTTTGCAGTTACTGCATTATAGTTCCAAAAGATGCCTATTTTATAAACATTTTATTTGGCCACTTCATGATATATGCAGATCCATTGTGTCATACCTTAAATCTCCATCTAGTAACAACTACAAACTTGAGCGTGTGATCCTTGCCAAGAATCTCTTCATTGCATAATATGTCCAGCTGACAAAACAAAGACGACAGTTAATTCATTGGACACAGTATGTGAAACAACCTATTTCAGATAATACTACAAACGTTTGACATGATTTTTTTTCTCTGAAGACACTGGTACCATTCACCTTGCAGTTACTCTGCAGACAAAAACAGTACAAGGAAAGAAAAGAGAATGTCTTTTCTCAACGTAAAGTGCTGAAAGGCCATGCCTATGCCTACCTAGGAAATGCTGCATGAACTGGACTTGGCTGTTTGATTTAGCTTCCCAAGCAGTACTAACACCCATTCCTGAAGGCTTTGAACGCTTTTAAAAGGCCCCATAAAACGATGAAGCAGACAGAATTCACAAATCTCAAAGACAGCTCTGTTATTTCACACACTATGAAATTTTTTTATCTAACACCAGCCAGCTGGCTTTCTGCTACAAAGATAGATTTTATAAAAAAAACTGTCTGCCGCCTACCTCATACACTGTATTTATGATTTTTTTTCACACACTCAATAGCTATTTTAACTTAACTATCTCAGTGTTGAAAGATCTTTGTATTAGAAACAGTGACAATATAAACATAAAAACATGAAGACCGTATGACTACTAATCAGCTGAACATGAACTAAAACAGGGAACATACATGAAAACAGTAAATTCCACGAAGGTGACTTATATTAACAATGCCTTACCACACAACCTAGAAAGGCCTGAATGTGCATGCAGTCCACTTACACAGCTTATCTAACTGACAATAACTCAAACCTGCAACAGTCTACAGCAATCAACCAAGTGTCCACAAGTTTAAATCCTTCTACTGTATACTTGTTACTCAGTACTGGTACACTGATTACACCACAATTTATGTACTCTTCAAGAAGGCAGGGAGGGATAGCAAAGGAATAAACAGTACACCTGAAAGTTTGTTCCCTCAGTAAAAGCCAAGCAGGTTGTTAAATCACAGACTGGAACACTGGAATAGAGGCCTTAAACACACACACACAAAAACATGGCTTTGAAGAGCCATGTTTGCTATGTTGTTGCACTGCTGGGCTACAGCCAAGAGTCAATCACTTCCAAGTCAGCTGAGGACAAGACAGGAGATACAGATTTGTTTCAGGAAGACTAGCAGAGTTCGGGGACATGCTCCAACCCTAGAATGGAGTGTTGGTTTGAAGTGCACAGAAAGTAGGAAGCAATAACAATACAGGTACCAATTGGCTGTTGAAAAGTTTGAGCAGAAAGGTGTTGACACATTGGACTGGAAAGCAGATGATTTGATTTGCATGAAAAGTCTTAATAAAATTCAGTGAATCAGTGACATAATGTGTGGTTGGGAGATGTCAAGCTGAGTGCCAACCAAGATGTCTAGAGACTGTGACCAAGAGCCAGCAAAGTGGTAAACCAGAGACTGCATTCATACGTTTGCCACTGTTAATTTCGAATCTGAACTAGGAGAAGTGCACAGAATTTTTCTTTCTCTATCTTTCACCATAAAGTATTCCCATGATTCCGAGTATTCCCTGCAAAGAAAGGGAAAAGTAGGCATCTGATAATGCTCTGCTCTTGGCAGGCAGCAACCATGGGTTGAGCTTCACTGAGAGAATAGAAAGGAACAAAACATTTGTGGTGCTTTCTCTTAAGCTGGCTTCATTAGTGTTAAAGTGGTTGTTACTGCCTGTCCCCTGCACTGAGTGTGAAACCTCTGAAAGGGTGGGATACACCTGACTACAAGCTGTCAAACAGAGCACCTTGCCAAAGTCCATTTCAACACATGTGGAAGCATGTAACCAAGTCTTTTAGTTCCACGATTTATATATAGACACGAAAAGATGCACTGCAAACAAAGCGGCAAGTTCTGTGCAGACCCAAGAAAGGACAAGAATATGGCTCCGGAACATACAGTTGAAGAGACAGTGTATGCTTCTGTTTTCTGAAAATAAAATCAGACTAAAAGATATTCCTTTGCAACAGAACAATACCACACTTTTTGTAAGGTTTTTATAGCTGCAAAATCATTTTAAAAAAACAAAATATTACCTCATTAAAAGAAGAAAGGTTAAGTTTTTTGGCAATGAACTTCTTTAGATGCAAGACTGTTGCTTGTGCTGAGCAGCGAATCCATTTTCGTTTCAATCCACGCAATTTGCTGCTATTGCATTCCAAGCAGATGCTTACCTTCAGGAAAAAGCAAACAGTCAAGGTCGGCTGGAACAATTTTCTGCAGTCCTCATTAAGTATTCCACATGGAGTTTTTATTAATACAACAAAGTGAAAAAGTACACTACTAGTATTCCTTACACGAAAATTCCTGTAGTCCTATTATAAAATACATTTTCTGACATCTTGTCAGTTTAGTGATAAGCACTACTGCAACCAAAAAAGATCTAGACAAAAAGGTCAAGAAAGAATTTTTGAATTTGGAACAAGGCTGCTACAGTCCCAATTCATAGGCTGCCAATAGCTCAAGAGGACTCTATGTCAAAAGCTGAAGTAAGATAAACAGTAAGAATACCGTTGCCGATTTTTAATGATTGCTTCCAATGTAACTTCTTGCTTTTAGTGAAACTGGTCTTTCCAGTTTAAAACAGAATTTTAACACATCCCCCCAAAAGGTCTCTCTAATTTCTACGCTTCAACTCTCACTTCTTTTCTCATCCAGCTACTCATTACTTAGTCTAAGCTCTTTATGATGATATAGTTACGCACTAAGAGATCTAGCACTACTTATAACCCCTTTGAAAGTTCTCTTATGTTATAATTGAAAAGAAAATTAATCCAAGTTTAATGTACTCTGGACACACATAACAGGAAAACATAAAACTAATGGCTTGTTTATTCCAAAAGGAAATCTCACTTTCAAACATGCTTTGTGTTTAAAACGTAATGGTGAACTTCCCACCTTTCATACTATTTTTATGGTATACGGCTAACACTGTCTTCGTATTAGAGGTTTAAAACAAAATAAATAGTAAGTTAGTAAAAGTGCAAAAGGCTACATTCATAATTACTGATACATGTTCAGCTCAATACATCACAGTAAGACTGGGATATGCTTCTTCAGAAGGGCGTCCAAATAACCTGAATTTGTTTTGAAAGCAAATACATACTTTGGAAACTCCTAAAGAAACAGACAGAATTATAAATTTTTAATACAAATGTCTTTAATGTATTCTCCATGAAACTCATGCTTACACAAAAGCACTGGGCAACACTGCCTCTTGTTTGTATCAGAGGACAGAAAAAGTAGCTTCAAACAGTTATTTTTCTTCTCTGTTAGCTTACCAAAGCACTAAAGCTAAAATACAAGACAAAACAAAAATGCGCCCTATGGGCTCACCTGTTCGTCACTTCGATGGTAGTCATTATCTTCTTCCTGTTTTTCCTCAGAAGTTTCTTTGTTTGAGTTATCATCTGTTTTAGTTTCACCTTAGATAGGAAAACAGATATATGGGATAACACTCAGAAGCAGCTTGTAATGCTAATGTGATTAAAACAGCACAGTTGAGGACTGCAATGTGGAATGAACTTTGCTTTTCCCAAACTGCGCTTATCTGCTTAGGCAACTCTAGCTGCCAACAGCCCCACACCTGAAACAGAGGAATACATACAGAGCACAACCTTCAGTTCAACTGCTCACAGCACAGAAGCTGTGTAATTTCACCAAGTCCCCACGCAGGCAATACTGCACACGTCTCCTTCGCCATAAGTAATACGGCATGACCAGCTAAAGAGAACAATTCTGTGCATAAATAAGGGACAAAGCAACAATCCTACACTCACTGTACTGTGCAGTGTTATAAAACAATTGTGATTGTAATAAAGCAACTAGACACACACCGCCAACAGGTCTGTTCATTAATTTACTAACCATCACATGCCCAAGACAAAATAAATAAAGGATCATTTACCATTTCGATGAGAATCTAGGTGCTGTTTTGTAGAACATGTCTCCCCTTTGATGTCCCCTGGAACCTCCATGCCCAGTTTGTGATAAAACTCCCTTTGCTTTTTCATTTCCGCTGTTTAAAATTGCAAATATTAAACCCTGTAATAAAGTTCTAATGCAATATTTATGAAGTTATTCCAAATCCCTTCCCTCTTAAGTGAAATAGGCTTGCCAACAAGTGGTACTCTTATCTTTGCCATTGTATCAAGTCATGCCTCACCTTATTTTTTAGAGTTAGAATACTACAGTCATCTGTACAGCTACTATCATAGCATTCCTATTAGAATAAGATAGTATTTAAAATACTATACCTTATTTTAAGTCCCTTCCACAACATTTCAGTCAAACCATTATTTCTGAATTTTTATTTATAGCTCTGTTTTTCAACATGCTAGAAATAATTTTTAAATCATCTATTTAACCTATTCATGTTTCAGAATGTGCTGGTTTTGCAGCTTAAATGGATTAAAATATTCTATTTAAATGAACGTTGTAACACGCATCAAGACAAAAAAAATTACTGAGCAATTACTATAAAGTCCTTTAGCTGAACACACCCAGTTTCAAACAGGATTACAAAAACACAAATTGAAAGTTATCTGCTAAGAAAGGATTCACACACTAGCAGAAACTTCACTGAAACTAAAAGCTGTTCTGCATTACTTTCTACCTCTCAGAATTCTAGAAAGCTGGCACAACAGGCTTAAACACACAGTTTAACAAGAACAAACGAGAGTCAGTGTGCCAAGATTCAAAAGCTGAACTACTATTCTGCTTTACATAACACTGCTTATTGAAGAAATACCACATCTTTCCTGCCACCACTCCCAACTCCTAATTGCTGCTAGTATACATATGAAACTAAACTAACAACCATAAATGACACTAATGAAGGAACATGCTTCCCCATTGTATTTTTCTTCAGTCCCCCCCAGCCCTCCCTGCCTCCTTTTCATCACCTGAAACTTTTTTGAAGTGTTAAAGACACACATGCACAATGCCCTCTAAAAAAGGTCATACCACAACTTACCTTCTTGGAGGCCTGGCACAAGTTTGTAAACAATATCTTGCATTGTTCTGTCATGACTAGCAAGGAAAAAAAAACAAAATCAAAAGTGTAAGTCAATCATCTTCATTCAAAACATTTCTCTCAAAAAAGTTCCCTTACTAAATTGATGTAAAACCTCTAAATTCACCTAAGAATAATTCTAATTTTTACGTCAGTATTCATATCAAACAATAGAGGACAGCAGCATAAAACAAATTATGAAAAAGTACAGGCTAAGACAGAAACCCAATGGAAGTTTAAGGAAGAACAGTCCTAGGACATGTGGAGGATGACATGTCATGGAACATGACTTCCTGCATCAAGGCAAATACATCACTAATAATCTCAAAATTCTTTGACAACTTTGAAGTAAACTCATTTTTATTATACAAGAATAAAAGATAGTCAGTCTATTTCTTACTCCTACAGACTTGCCTCTCACATTTCTAGATTACTTGGTTATCTTTACTAGGCATTTCCAAGAATGCAAAAAAACAGTCCACAGACAAAGACCACAACAATAAAATGTTACTTTGCCCTTCAAAGCCAACATTTTAACTGTAAACAACATTATGTAGCTCAGAAGCCTTTATAGGTAGTGTGGCTCAGATAAAAGAAAGGTAATACTCCCAATGGAACTGGAGCAGCAGGACCAGTTAAGATTCTAAACCTTAATTCCCAGCTCACCTAGATAAAATTCTGTTTTAGTCTAAAATAAGTGACTGTCTGAAAGAAACAACGTATTACCCTAACTTCCATTCCAACTGATTAATAAAATCAGAAATGTTTCAAACGTCTGCCTCTGCTGCTACAAGCTCATTACCCCAATAGAGCTTGCAATACCAAATCTTGAATCTGACTTAAATAGCATAAGAGGCTTACAAGTGTAGTCTCAGACTTCTCATCACATGACATGAGCACTTCACAGCAGTGCAGGCCAGTGAACAAGTAAGAAATGGTGCCAAATAAAGAGATTTAAAAGATTGTAATGGTCAATTGTAAGTAGCACGACAAGAAGAATCAAAATATCATTGATTCTAAATTAATCTGATTTCAACCAGTAGTAATCCCATTTGCACAGGCTTGGATTTCAAGTGTCACACATGGATTGCAGGAACTTCTCCAAAAATTTTTCAACATAAATGAGGACATCAGCCATCACTACTAGATCAGATGTGAGAGTTTAATAGCCTTCAGAAATGTGAAGTAGGAGACACATTTGTTTTACCTACTGTCCAGACAGAGGGAGATGAATAGGGGTGCAAATCTACGTTCTAAGACATATTGTGAAACTCCGTACTGTCAATTCTTTATTTAAAAAAATATATATCCAAAAGTAAGCTGGGCAAAGGCTGCTTCAGTCTTGAGAGGCTAGTATTTTATAACTAGTTCAGGCAAAATACTTCCTTTGAAGTGTATTCAGTGACCAAAAACAAGTAGCAAACTGCTTTCTATCTGTTCTCAATTTAATGCTGTTTCCTAGCACCTTTTGGCATAGAAAACAAGCTTCTGAACCAAGGCACTGGTGTATTCCTTGTAGCTTTACAGCAGACAAACATGCTGTCTTAAGTGTCATTTATTCATTCTTGCCTATTGGCATCTACTTGTCCCTTCAAAGCATACAGTCACATAGGGTATTACCAGTGTTTCATATAATGCATTATCAGTGTACGCTATTGGTCTCCAAATGCGGAGATGGAGAGCACTGAAGGAAAAGAAAGGGAATGTCTCTTCTGAAAACAAACCAAACCAAACCAAATATACTTAGTAAAAATAAAAAAAGCGAAACTGATGAACAATACAGGATTCATGCTGGGTCAGAAAGTGAAAGCACTCTGTGTAGGGATCAAAACAGAATGAAGGACAAGATTGTTCCATTCCACTGGTCTAATATTTTTGCTGCCATATACTTACCTGTTGCTACGAACTAAATAGACCTTTGAAAGATTAACTGAACAATAAAATGAACAATTTTTTTCTGTCACTGCTCTGTCAGACACTGAAAAGCACTGTTCAACTGAGATTATTTATTTTGAGGATTTTGGAAAAGCGTAATTTCTACTGATGTTTCAGTTATGTAACTTTTACTACCTCAGCATACAAAATGAGGAATGACTAAATCCCATTAAAACTCACACAGAAATTAAACAGTAAAGTGTATACTTTACTTAAGTCTGGAAGAGGCTAACAGATACCAAGTAATTGTAAATTCATAGCAAAGTTTGATCCCATATCTCCTCAATGACCTTTAACTTCCGTTTTAAATGTTTAACATGCTGTTAAGCAAGTAAGAAAATCTAGGAAAAAACTGTGATCTATTAAAGAGGCTGAAACAGTTGAGTGAAGTTAGTTGCACTTTCGCTTTCTTACTTACCCAATATATTGTAAGGGGTGGCTCTGATGTATAACAATTCTACAGGTTGGACAAGTGTTGTTTTCCTCCAAGTATTTCACTAGGCAGCTTCTACAGACTGATAACAAGGACGTTCATAATTAAAAAGAAATAAAAGAAGCATAATGAATACAGTCACAGAAATGCACCTTACTGAAATTTACACAATCATTTTTAATACCATGTAAGCGTGATGTCTAATCACACAGAATATAGTTTCCAATGTCTTCAATGATGTTCTTGATACAGCGAAATGATGCACTACAGTTAAGGCATCTGTAGCTAGCCAGAGTCTTCCCAATAAAGCATACGACACACAATCTCACTCCAGAATTTGCTAGAACAGCAATTTACAGCAGCTCAACATCACACTGCTTGCACCATTCACCTTGCACAGACTGTATTACAGAAGCTGTACGCTGTTAGGATACTATTTGCTTTAACCATGGCCACATACAGAAGTAAAGTGTACAGTGGCAATGAACCCAATACAAAAAAATTATTCCAAAGTTGGATACTTTTTAAAAGAACAGAAAACTTTCAAAAAGTGGATATCCAGGTGCTATTTTAATTCTAACTTTCACAGAATACACTAAATACCTATCGGAAAAAAAAATACATTGGCATAGACTTTCCATATTTGTAAAACATCCTGGTAGTAGTTCATTATAAAGCTGCATGCTTTTGGAACTCTCTCCATATGCATGCACACAAGCATCTGTATCTCATCCAAAGTAAAGTATTTACACTATTTACACCTCCCCCCTCCGAAACCGTACTTATAATACACACTGCTACATGATATCCTGACTCACTTTAAGTAGTCATGGTAGTAATGCACTCATTCTTCTCACATAAAATGAAAGCATTTCTGTAACTATAGCGCCATCTACCTTTCAGACAAGATGACACCACAACTAAATAAACACCTGCTAATACTAAAAAAATTATGCAGCAGCAAATGAAGCATAGCAAGTTTGCATTTTGCATTGTATTTACACACTTAGGATGACAGTACTGTTGATGGTAGAGGTTATGGTTAGACTAGAGGAAGCCTCATAGCTTTGCACACTAAGCACAGATCTCACACATCAGTCTGTTCCAGTGGAACGGCAGAGCACTGGATCCATCCATTTGCAAAAGTGAAGCCAAACACCGGTCTTACCAAGTCAATAAAAGCAGAACCTGACAGTGGGACAGTGAGGGCAGAGACAAGTATCCTGGGAAAAGTACAGGGATGTCACACGGTTGTGTAGGGATGGGGTCAGGCAGGCCAAGGTGTGGCTGGAGCTGAATTTGGCAAGGGAGGAAAAGAATAATAAGAAGGGCTTCTACAGGTATGCCAGCCAGAAAAAGAAGGTCAGAGAAAGTGTATCCCCTCAATGAACACGACTGGCAAACTGGTAACAACAGACAAGGAGAAGGCTGGAGTACTCAACAATTTTTTTGCCTCAGTCTTCACTGGGAATCTCTCTCCCCACACCTTTTGAGTGCATGAACCTCAGGGCAGGGACTGTGGGAATGAAGTCCCTCCCACTGTAAGAGATCAGGTTTGTGACCACCTGAGGAAACTGAGCATACCAAGTCTATGGGACCTGACGAGATGCATCCCAGAGTGCTGAGGGAACTGGCTGATGTAGATGCCAAGCTACTCTCCATGGCAATCATGGCACACAGGTGAGGTCCCTGCTGACAGGAAAAAGGGAAACATTGCAACCATTTTTAGAAAGGGCAGAAAGGAGGACCCTGGGAACTACCAACCTGTCAGCCTCACCTCTGTGCCTGGAAAGATCATAGAACAGAGCCTCCACAAAGCTACACAAATGCACATGGAAGACACGGAGGTGATGTGAGACAGCCAGCATGACTTCACCAAGGACAAGTCCTGTCTGACCAACCTAGTGTCCTTCTACGATGGAGTTACTACACCAGTGGACAAGGGAAGAACTACAGATGTCATCTATCTGGACTTCTGTAAGGCCTGTGACACAGTCCCCCACAACATCCTTCTCTCTAAATTGGTGGGATATGCATTTAATGGGTGGACTATTCAGTAGATAAGGAATTGGCTGGATGGTCACAGCCACAAAGCAGTGGTCAACGGCTCAGTGTCCGGATGGAGATCAGTGATAAGTGGTGTCCCTTGGTAGTCCGTACTGGAACCAGTACTGTTTAGTATCAACACAGTGCGATCCAGTACACTCTCAGCAAGCCTGCAGACAATACCAAGCCAAGTGGTGCAGCTGACATGCCTGAGGGACATAATGACATCCAGAGGGACCCGGACAAGCTCAAGGAGTGGGCCTGCATGAACCTCAGGCATGAGGCAAGTTCAACAGGGCCAAGTGCATGATCCTGCACATGGGTCGGGAAAACCCCTGGTAAAAATACAGGCTGGGGGATGAAGAGATTGAGAGCAGCCCTGTCTAGAAGGACTTGGGGCTAGTGGTGGATGAAAAGCTGGACATAAGCCAACACCGTGCACTCGGAGCCCAGAAGGCCAACCATGTCCTGGGCTGACCAGGAGAAGCGTGCCCAGCAAGCCAAGGGAGGTGATTCTGCCCCTCTGCTCCACTCTGGTGAGACCTCACCTGGAGTCCAGCATCCAGCTTTAGAGCCCTCAGCACAAGATGGATATGGAACTGTTGGAGTGGGTCCAGAAAAGGGCCACAGAAATGATCTGAGGGCTGGAACACCTCTCCTATGAGGAAAGGCTGAGTGAGTTTGGGCTGTTCAGCCTGGAGAAGAGAAGGCTCCAGGCAGACTTTATTGCAGCCTTTCAGTACTTAAAGGGGGCTTGTAAGAAAGATGAGGACAGACTTTTTAGCAGGGCCTGTAGTGACAGGACAAGTGGTAATGGTCTTAAACTAGAAAAGGGTAGATTTAGACTAGATATTAGGAAGAAATTTTTTACGATGAGGATGGTGAGGTACTGGAATGGGTTGCCCAGAGAGGTGGTAGATGCCCCATCCCTGGAAACATTCAAGGTCAGGTTGGATGGGGCTCTGAGCAACGTAGTCTAGTGGAAGATGTGCCTGTTCATTACCCGGGGGCTGCACTGGATGACCTCTAAAGATCCCTTCCAATCCAAACCATTCTGTGATTCTGTGATACCTTCTAAAGCGACCTCCCACTTCAGTACATCTTCCAGTTTGTACTAGGTATACACTAACTCCTCCTAAACTGAACTCATCATAAGTCAGCTCACGGTCTGGCAGGTCTATTAGTCTATGCACAGCATTCAAGTAAATGCAACTAGATAGCTTACAGAGGATGCTGCGGTCTTCTAGACTGATTCTTCTTTCACAGGATCAAGTTGGGATTAATAAACTGTCCTGAAACTGGAAGTCCTAGGAGTACAGGACAGCCAACACGGGAACTATTCTAGAGTTTGAAACAATAGTATTTACCTAGAGTTTTCCCATTACCTGGAATTTCCAACGTCTGCAAACTCCATTTACCCAGATACTGGGGCACTGACTGTAGGCCTGAACCAAGCTGCATGTTTTCTGGTTATTTTTATAGTACATTTCAACATATTGGAGAACTTTCATTAGAAAATGAACAGGCAAGGTTAATCCTCACAAAGACCAGTTTCATTCCTCTTGACTTTTTTCATTTCTGCATCTAGTTCAAGAAATACAGTTGGTCTTTCATCATCCTCATGAACCCAAAAAACGACACCTTTCATTACATATGAGGCTTTCCCTTTCATAAAATACAAGGACAGCTTTCACACTTTAACACTTATGAAACTCAAATTACAAATGTAAAAGTTTAACAAGACCTGCATGTATCTGTTAACCTAGAATTGTAATTAAGAAACAGATGTAAACTAGTAAAGACTTAACAATGAGTTACTACTAATGAAGTTATTATGGACTGACTTGTAGGCTTTCATGTCACCCACAAACTAAAAACATAGCAGAGAACAAGCAGGAAGGGAGCAAAACAGCTTGTTTTCCCCTGAATTCTGTTTTACAAAAGAAGGTGACCCTGTCCCTCCAAAGGACTGTCCCTGATGCTCCAAATGATTCTCACCAAAGGACTCCAGAACTACATTTACTACTGAAGCGAAGAGTCTCCGAATGTCTGGAGGACAGAAAATTAGAGAAAAATTAAAAATGTAGGAAAACTGTACAGTTCTGAGTAGAAGCAGAAATAAAATTTCAAGGTGGTGCAATTCAGCAGAGAATTCACTACCTCAATAGACAGTGCACTTTCAGGATACATTTTGCAAAGATGCTTTTCCCGGAACGTATATTTAGCATTAATATACACAATACAAATGACACCAACATGTGTAAAATTTTTGAAAAAGACAAGGCTGTGCACCTCTTCTCAGAAAACTGTAATTCTACAGGACACACACTGAAGTAGTATTCTCAAAGTATAAACAACCCAAATAAGGGAGGGACAAGTCACAAATTGTATGTCAGCTATGTTAACTCGATGTAATACTGATTTTGTATATAATCCTGATAATAGCATCAATAAATAATCTGGGGCAAAACTAAGTAGAGGTCTAGCTTAAGGATCTCTACAGTTCAGAAAGAACACTATGGAAATTAAGATGTGAAACAGATGCAGAAGAGACATGAGAATAATGAAAATGACATGGAATTGTGAGAGGAACAAAAAACAAATTAAAGCTGAGGAACAGAACTTCTAAATTAAATACAATGGAAAACGTAATCTCTGACAAATCCACGAGCATTGTAAGACATTTTAGGTGAAGAATAAGTCCGGTGAAACTTTTGTGGAGATGAAGCCACTGCCACCAAATAATTCCCTTCCAAGAAAGTTTAGGACTATGAGTCACTAAGCTATCCAAACAACATACTAGCTTTATCAGAATAGGGGTAAATACTGTGACAGAAGCATTTTAAAACATGGGATGCTTGAAGCTGCATAGCAAACATTATTTAACAGATTAATACAGGTGCACATAAACAAAACAAATGATATTTTAAGCTCTGAAGAGATAAAACTGGTCAAATGGAAACTCCTGGTTGACAAGGGCGCGTTGGTAAATTGCAAGGATTCTGAAGACGCAGCTAGAAAAAGTAATTTTGTAAGGTGTAGAGCCATCAATGTGACTGCTACAGAGGATATTTAATGTCACTACACTAGGCCTTCTGGACTGAAGTTAATTCCTTAGCTCATACATGTCTTGGCAATGGAAAGTGAGGATCAGAACGGACTGAAGACAGAGAACAGTTCTGGAGTTACCACGTTGGGACTGTAAGGGTGCTTCTCTTCAGAAGGAATCCTTCCAGATCTTTAGTTGGAACTGTGCTAATATGCAGGTTTCCATCAGAATACTGCAAACCCTAGCATTCCGATATCCCACAATGTGAACACCAAAGCTGCTGGGATGGACTTACACCTTCAGTTTTCTTGAAGCCTAAGGCTTTGCAAGGTACTACGGTATACTTTACCAACATGAAACTAGAAATTCAGAGTAACATACAACAAACAACTACCTCATCACAGTATTTTGGAACAAAAGCTTATTTCTAGGGTACCACACAACATACTTATTCTTTATTCATAAAGTATGGCTGCTTTCTGCAGAGGAACAGGAGAGCAAGAGACATTTGGAAGGCTCCAGTTGCAGAACATATGTTATGTCAACTGTCAGAGAAAGGAGAACTAGGCATTCCACATTCCTTTAGCAGGAAGACAGACTGCATTCTTGAATGCATATGCTACCACTAACTGTATATATGGCTTCAACCTTGTACAGTACAGTTTTAATGTTCTCTTCATCTGCTTTGTTAAAAAAGCAAATAATCTGTAAAAAAAACAATGCCTAGTAAACCACGCATTATTTCAGCTGATGCACAGCAGATTCTTTAATTTCAACTAAAAACTATCACAACATATTGCATATCAAGTTAAAAAAGAATTGTTTCTTTAACTTAATTATACTTCTACTTACAAGTATGTAAGCATTCAGTTACAGTAGTAGCATCAATCAGGTATCCATTGCACAGACGACAGGTTATATGGGCATTAATGTCCCAAAGCTTAATCTTTCTCGTTAGCATCTTTGGTGTCTGCAGAAAAGACATATCAAAGTAACATAGCTGCAGTGATCAGGTAAAAGCCATTTGGGAATAAATGATTTAACTAGAATTAATCCTGAAGGTATGTTTATACACCTTTACGCTCTCATATACTGTACATGCACATGTACACACACACAATGACAGTACGAGCTTTTAAAGCACTTCACAGAAGTCAAACAATGTAAAACCACACTATTTTCCAAGCTGAAATTTCAACAGCATAGAAAACAGTCTTTCTAGCACACTATTAATAAGTTCCTTTACAAACGAAGGGACCTGGACTTCAGGTGAAACCCTGCCATTCTAGTGATCGAAGTCATCACATTCAGTCTAGTAACGGGGAAAAATTCACAAAAATTTGGAGAAAATTCTCAAAGCAATTTGAGAATTGAAAGCATTTTGATAACTGGAAAGTCAAAATAACTAGGTTTGATTTGGCATAGTAGATGTACCCACACCTGTGTGTTTGTCTTGTGCCAGTATGGTTAACGTATAATTTTGCTGTCTCTCAGTAATGAAACTGAAAAGTAAATCTTCTCCAATCCCATTTCATTTAAACTCAAGTTAATTAAAGAACACATTACAAACTAGTCTGATTGGCAGAGCTGCAGCTTGTTTTACTAAGAAACATGAACTAGAAAGTTTTTCTCTCTTCAGAGCAAGGGATAGCATAACCACCATTAAAAGAAGAAAAGTCAGAAATTAAAAATGAAAAGGCTCATTTAACTTTTTTTGCAGCAACCCCAACTGCTTTTAGAGAAAACACCACACAAAGCCAACGCCTTAATAAACTGCCAGCTTTTAAATACAGCTATATTTTATTTTTTAAAATACATTGAAAAGAAAATTGTAGTGTTATAATAAAATGACAGCATTCAAGTTAATTAACAGAGCAGAGTAAACTGGCTTACAATTTATTACATTTGGTTCCCGCACTGCACAAGTCACCGAAATACACTCTTTTCCATTAAAGTGACTTTACTCTTCTAGGCTCACAAATTTTCATCTAGCTTAGTTTGGAACACATTTCAGAATTTGAATGGTGACACATGTTCCGCAAATTTCACACAGAAATATCATAACAAGGTTGTCCAACCTTTAATTTAATTTGTCATATTCTTTTTCCTTGTTTAATGAAGTGGTACTAAGCAAAAAGAACTATCAAAAGGCAAACTTTCACACCAATCTGAACTACACCAGCACTTAAAAAGTACTTTATATTCCATTATAACCTATGGAAAAGCACATCCAACACCCACCCATTAGAATCTGCAAATCTGCATTGTCCTATACAAAAATTATTAGGAAGACTTCCAGTTCTCATAGATAAGAATTGAATGACACAAAAATCAAACTTATTTTATGGTATTTGAAACTTCATAATTTAGCTAGTGACTAGCCATTACAGAAGAATGAAAGCGCAATTTGGTCTTGTAGTACACAAGATAGGTCATACTCTATGCTTGTGAACAGAATAACTTTTCTAAGTTGTGTTTTACAGATTTATTTCTAACCAGCTGAAAACCAACCATATATTAAACCCATGGAAGTTGGTGCACGAGATCTCCAGTCTACTGGAGAAGCTACTGCTTGAAGTAAGTGTATTTCTATGGCACAGGAGAAGAGCTATTCCACATCACTCTAAGTAGAGTTCAGGAGATGGCTTAAAACCACCACTTAAATAGAAAGTCAGCAGACTGGAAAACACAATTCATGACAGGCAAAAGAGAAATTAAGCTACAAAGATACTTAAAAAGGCAGTATCAATACAACTGTAGTTACTTGTCTAGGCAGGAATTCAGAAAAAGGTGTTCAGGATCACCACACACTGAATCCAAGCACTAGTGAGGCAGAAGAGCCAAAGATATGACGGTGAAAACTGAAGCAAATAAATTATTTATTTTCCAGAAGCATGACAATTTTCCCCCACTACAGCAGAGACAAGCACTGCCACTAAAGAACCTGCAACAAACAAAAAACAGTTCAGATGGGGTATGATTTATGAGAACAACGAATGAACCACACAATTAAGAAGGTAAGAATACCACAAAATGTTAATAAAGCCCATTGTGCCAGAACAAGGGGATAGTAAAGATAATACACACTTCACTGACTGAGCAGGAAACAATCATACACTTTTTGGCAATGGAAAAATACATGTCTTCTAGAATATCCAGAGCAAGCCTGTCAAATCAACCCCATGAAAATTTTATACACCTTTCAAAAATGACAGAAATACGCTCTCATTAGACATTTAAAGAACAGAAACTGGGAACTATTGCAAGAAGCAGCAGAATGGGAACAGGTTTTTCCAGGGCATTAGACACCTCAGTTTCAAAACAAGATAAAACATGCAGTGGGAGATTTCTCCACAAGGCCTGGCCCACATTTGTATCTTGCAACTGCTAAAACAAGAGAACGATCTCTTCTCTGCATATGCAGAGGTCCAGACATGGTAGCTTCAACACAGGTTGAAACTCCAATAAGCAATGCAACTTTCAGGTCTGTAACCAAGCTGTCAGTGTCAGACTCCACTTCAGCCTGCATTTTGTGCAACTGAGACCTGTGTCCTCTAGTCTCATAAAAAAGACGACAATTGGAACGCCTCTCATTTTTCAGAATAGTTAACCTGTAACAACAGGAGGCCTTATTAAATATAAAACAAACGAAAAAAAAGGTCATACCAGTTTATAACTATTTAGAAAAGAAGGGAGGAGCTAGCAACAAAATGGGATTACCAAGATGTCAGCTCAGTTAGACAACATATTTAAAGACTTAAATTTTGAACACAACTTGAATTGCTTCCCAGAGGGAAGGCGGGGAAAAAAAATTTAGCAAAACTACTGACATACATAAAGAAGAAACAGAAGGACTAACGCTACAGCCTCATATAGAAATTAAGCTCATTAATAACAGCAAAAAACTGAACACAAAGTAATTCCACATTTATCACCTGTCTGTTCCATATCACTTCAGAGGAAAGTAAATAACAATCGCATATTTCACGATCAACTACTTTTTTATCATTATTAATGTAATCAAAAAGGATACACAGTCATACTTCAAAACACAAACCTAAGCTACCATTCAGAACACTTCGGAAGAAACTCTCCATGTCAGTTGATGGCTAATACAGGTTTATACAGGATGGCTAATAGAGGAATATACATATTCCTATCTGGAACACATTAACTCTATCAACTCAGAAGGGGTACAAGTCTATTTGAACAACACATCTGCTCTTGGGAAGCAGCCACGTTTCCATGTTCCTACAGCCTACTGTTCAAAGTCAGAAGTCACTTTCATCACATACGACAGCTGAGTTCTCTTATCACCCCACTAAAAAAACCACACACCAAACATACTTTTCAAGTAACCATATATACATTGAAGCACCATGCTGTAGGGGGAAAAAAATGTGGATTAGATCTGAAGATTAGAAGCAAACAGAAGGTACAAAACAATTGCCAAGACATTAATGCTGACAAGCGTATCACAAATAAATCCCCAAGCCCTACTGCTATGTCACCTTAACCCCACCTCAGTTATTAGAAAGACTACCCATTACTTCAACATTACAAGTACAGTAATGTATTACAAATCTATTTAATAAAAATTCAAGATTTTACATCATCCTAATCAGCTTGCACATTTCAGTTGAAATTTTATTTGAGTTTATCAATCAAGCAACTGAAAACCTAGTTAATTTTTTTTAAACTGCTGGGCTTCCATGAAAGCAAGACCACATCTATCTTCAGAAGATCTCAGTACCCTTTAGAAGTCTGAGCATCTGGTTTTGCTACTTAGGTAGCACTCTCAAAGAGCTACTTTTACCATATGAACGTACAGTAACACAAAGAAAGGAGGAAAAACATGTTCACCAGCTGCTGGATTTCTGTGAACAATTCTGAATGAAGTGGCATCCTTCTGCTCAGACTACTGACACTTTCTGTACATACAATTAATCCAAGTCAGTAATCTCATACAAACTGGAACTAAACAGCAAGACTACGTCACACCCAAAACCAAAACATGAAGTTTGACTAAGAACCACCAAGACTAGCCAGGTTTCCCATTAATACCTTCGCTTTAAAAAAGGAAAGCAGATTTTTCCAAATCTGAACTCCAGGTGGTATCTTTCACAAACTTCATCTTCCCATCTCTCAAATAGTGGTATGTTGAAAAGAAAGCTAAAAGTGAATTCAGAAACTTCCAAAACAAGTAATCTAACATTAAAAAGCAATAAAAGTCCAAAACCATCTCTGAATACACACGCTCTAGCAAGCTTGCAGCTTAAGAGCATGGAAATGTTCAGACAAGTGGATAAAGCACTGAGCACACTGGTCTGACCTCACATCTTACTCTGCTTTGAACAGTTGGATTACACAATCTCCTGATGTCTTTTCTAACCTGAGTTATCCTATAATCCTATGAATTTACTGCACTATTAGAATACCCTCATCTATCCATACGAGTTAAAATTCTTACTGTTTTGACTGCCCTCAAGATGCTCATTGAGTACTTCAAGCAACAGTTATCATAGAATCATAGAATAGTTTGTGTTGGAAGGGACCTTAGGGATCAGTTAGTTCCAACCCTCCTGCCATGGGCAGCGACTCCTTCCACTAGACCAGGTTGCTCAAAGCCCTGTCCAGCCTGGCCTTGAACACTTCCAGGGAGGGGGCATCCACAACTTCTCTGGCAACCCATTCCAGTGCCTCACCATCCTCATATTGAATAATTTCTTTCTTACATCTAACCTAAATATGCCCTCTTTCAGTTTAAAATCATTACCCCTTGTCCTACCACTACACATCCTTGTAAAAAGTCCCTCTCCAGCTTTATTGTAAGCCCCCTTCAGCTACTGGAAGACTGCAATAAGGTCTCCCCGCAGCCTTCTCTTCTCCAGGCTGAACAGCGCCAATTTGCTCAGCCTTTCCTCATAATAAAGGTATTTCAGCCCTCGGATCATTTTTTGT